CAAGCTTATTTTCCTTACAGCAAGATAAAGTTCTTAAAAAAATAAACGCGGACTGTTATATTTAAACTAGGCATATGTTAACTTTAAGACTACTTTTCCATTCTTTCTCATGAACACCAACAAGAATTATTCTCAAAAGCGTAAACCCACGAACTAAGAGCATCTTTCTAGTTGCAGCTAGCAACAACCAAGTTCATGAGGCTTGCTATAAACAGGTTTTTCCTGAAAGACATAGAACAATGTGTTGATCACACTCCATGGCTTCTGTGAAGACAACAAAAATAATAATAAAAAAAAAAACCACTCTACCCTGCCCAAGTTTTGATTCCATCAGAAAAGCAATTAAACCTAGTTGAAAGGTTTTCTACAAAAAGGCACAAAATTGTATCTGGTAGGCTTTTTCCAAAGTTGTTCCAATATCTCAATTCTGCTGGAGCCAAAACAATCCAACCCATACTTTATAGTTTAAAAAATGAATTTTCCTTCTTCTAATATGAAGAAATACAAAGTAATAGAAAATGTTTCCTATACAAAGATTCCCTCCCAGGACGCTATTAAAAAACCAAAACTGTAATAAGGTTGCACTTAGACAACTGCAATAATTCACCATGACTTTCAGAAGTGAAGCAATGCAGTAACTTTCTGTTTTCAAATATAAGATGCCATATATCATTTTAAGGATCAATAAACTTACAACACAAGCAGAGTTATTAAAGTGACATGAGTTATTTGCCTGGTTAAGACAAATCCATGGTGACTGTGTCTTAAGTAAAAGCAAATGGGCTCTAAATCCAAAAATGTCTCCCTATCAAGTTTTAGGATGGTCTTTAGGAAAGATTTTGCGCCCCCCCTCCCCGCCTTTTTATTTATTTATTTATTTATTTATTTATTTATTGTCTATTTGCTGGTATTTGGCTAATGGAGGTGTGAGTATAACTGAGCTGAAGATAAGAGAGTACCAGAATATATACTATACAATTCTCCTTTACTTTCCTGTAAGGACAGAAAATAGGCACCTCTCCAAAGAAGTGCTGTATTCAAATATAATTATTGGCAAGTGCCCCAATATATTATTTGGTTTGGACATTGAAATTCCAGGATGTGTTTGGCAGGACAAGGAATTTTTTTTTTTTTCCTCCTTAATGTAAAAGTCAAATCACGCCTTTAATCACATGAATATGGACCTTGTTTCTTCATTTTAAAATTGGGACAATAAAACCAAACCTCATAGGATTGAGAAGTCCTATGCCAGTGCCTGACATATAGTACATACTAAAAATAAACAAAAAAATTGACTTGAATATTATCTAAGCTTAACATTTTAAAGTTGAGAAGTATATTCTATTATTTTATATTATTTTCCACTTTCAAAACTTACATCTTTTGATTAGCATGTACCAACCATTCAAACTATAAAATTTTTCCTCTCATCTTACTTGCTTCTAGGAGGCATTCTCCCCCAAAACCTGTATTATGTTTATGTCAAGAGGCACTGTAGTATACTGGTTAAAAGCCAAATCTTGTGTCTGAAAATTAATAATAATTTCTACCCCATAGGATTGTTGAATGAATTAAATGAGTTAATATATGTAAAACTGAATACCATAAGCATGTTAGCTATTATTATATTAATTATACAATATATATAATTATATTAGGTATATATAATTATATACATTAGTGGTATCTGAAAACAGGATTTGAGGCATGTCATTTGAGTTCGTATTAATTAAAGCTTTAAACTAAGCAAAAACAAAACAAAAAAACTAGAAAAAGACCTTATTTTTTGTAATACAAAAAATACTCACAGAATACAATGCCTTGCCATATCAGTTATTTAGAGGATTATTCACACGTTTGAAATCTCTGTTCCTGCTCCGCAAACATGGATAAAAGAGAATGTTAAGGCTGGACAAAAAAAACTAACTGAAGACGTTACCCTCAATTTCAATTCACTGTACGTACTCAAACCTGCACTAAACAAATGTGAAAAACATTCTGATTTATTTCAAGTTAAAACAAACATTGCCTGGTGTTAGTTACGTATCAGGTGAATTCTTTCCTTTCAATGTAACAATACCATGCTGGCCTCTGATTGAATGCTAACATTATAATGTGGCCATGTAAGCTGTATCCTGTAACTTCTGTGGTGCATTTCCAGATCTCTACACAACACGTTAGGAATTCTTGACAATAGCCATTGAAACTGAATTACTAATATCTATAAAATTTCTTTCCTAAAATTAATAGCTTTTAGGGTAATAAATTCAAAAATGGCAGCGGTTAGGAAAGAGTGTGGTTGTGGTCGCAGCAGTTGCAATTTCACAGTAGCTCACTTCAGGATCATAAGGAACTTAGGCATCACCTCCATCATCCCCCACATTTTATGGAGAAACCGACGTCCCCAAATGCTATGACATTGATAGGGCCAAGACCATAACCTAGGTCTCCATGCTCCCAGTCAAATAAGTGTTTCTTTGAGTTTTTCATATTAAATTTAACCAAGTAATCCATACCAACCCAAAATGGCATTTTTTCTTTTTTGCCAAAAACCAATTCAAAAGAGTAATTGTTAAAATACACACACACACACACACACACACACACACACACACACACACACAGAACTACATTCATTTAAGTAAGCACTACAGTAGTCAGTTTACTAACTTCGTGTGATTTTTTTTCAAAACCCAATTAGGATTTTTTAAAATCCCTTGTTGCTATTGTGACTTTCAAATCACCACCACACTTGCTCTTGGCTCCCTGAACCCCACTCCCTTTCCTAAAAATGGTGGGGACGGTGAGCAGTAATCAACAATCTACTTTCTAATCCTACCATATTTGAGCCAAGTATATTGACTCATCCTTTTTCCCATCCTCAGCATAATAGACAACAATCCTAAGGGAAGAGTTAGTTTCCTAGTTAGTTAGTTTTAGGATCAATCTTAGTCTATTCTATTATTATTTCATATACACCTCCAACTGAACCGAAAGATTTCACGTTAAACACATTCCATTAGCCCCCCCAAAATACTAATAATGTGCATATGTATAGTTTATTCATTTTCCAAATTTTTTACTTTTCCCAAAGCAAATCTTTATCAAAAATCAGTAAACTGAGAACAGAAAATAAAGCATGAGGTCACATAAGTTCATTCTGTCACTGTATAGTAGTAAAATAAAGTGTATTCAGTTCTGAACCAATCTTAATCAGTTGAAATGTACAGAATGCCATCTCAGATCTAAAAATTAGCAACATACGAATAATTCATAAAAGTCACCTTTGCACTACATTTTCTTTAAATTTATTTCCAAAGAGTACTAAAAGCAACTTTTTTAAAAACAGACTTCATGAAATTGCCAATATCTAAAAGAGCCTTTTTTTTACCTAACCACTAACACAAGATAACTGCTCTTCAGTTTTGAGTAAAGAATCCTTTATAAAAGCAAAAGCCAACAGCTTTTTGATACTTAGGCAAAAAAAAAAAAAAAAAAAAAGTTTAAAACTCTAAAATAAACTTAATGGAATATTTTAAGATACATCCTAACTGTTACACCTGAATCCTTCAGGGAAGGGACATTTAATTCCTTGGAATGACATAGGATTCTCTTAGCAAACTTCCCCTCCCACTAAGCAAATGATTAATCAAAACAGATAATTCTGCTTGTGCTGACATCATATTTGGGGACATTGCAACTATTTTGTAATCTGCTTTAGCCCTTGCAGAAACGTCTCTACAATAACCCTCTATCTGTGGTGCATGCATGTGTATATACACACACACACAATGTACATACACACATATGTACATACACAGGTATACAGACATGTATTTTAATCCTTGTTTTTTTAACCTAGAATTGGCACTCGAATCAGCTGTGTGCTTTTCCGCAAGTTATATCTTTCTGATACTCAATTTTTTCCTCTGCAAAATGGGGATAACAATAGAACTTACCTTGTGGGGTCATTGTGAGGCCTGACTCAGTGTTAGCTTATCACCCCATATAAATTTCCTAAGCACATATAAACAATCATACCCCCGAAGTGCACAAACTTAGTGCGGCATCTGATGCTCAATTAACTATGAAATTCCCTTTATGTCGTATCTGTCAACCAGACCGGCTGCTCATTAATTCAAAAACATCAAACAATGTGACTCTTACAGAGTAAAGATACACTGGTGGCCAGAAAGACAAGTGATCTTTGCCTGGATCTATTTTAGGAACGGTTTATCTACACCCCTAGTGTTAACACTGGAAAATAAACAAATGGATGAAAGGCATCATGAAAGAGTCACTCTGAGATCAACAGTTTCATGGTATTTGAAAATAAATGGGGATGAAGAAAACATTTAGATCATTTCTGTACCAGTCCTTACTGAACAGGGCAGGCCGGAATTTGCAAAGAGGTTTAAGAGGAATTGCTGAATTGATGAATTCAGACTGTTCACACTGCAAGGTTCAGAGAGGTTCCAGGTTTAAAATGTAACCAGGGAGAAAACTATAATTCAATAGTTGGTTTTCACTGAATCACTACCCTACACTACAGTGGAGGAAAAACATGAATTCTGTCATCTAGTTACTTCACGTGGGCAGAAAATGATCATCAGTTCCCACAGTGAAATATACTTGTATCTACACATTATTTATTCCCACCTAAAAAAGTAGGGAAAAAAACAACCCTGCTGATCCTGTCAGGCTAGAAAGGTATTACAGTTAATAATTGTGACATCATTAGCTATCTGGTATTCATAAGTACGCCAATTCATACTATTATCTATGGGGGAGATTACAATTAGAAATTTCCCAAAGAAACCGCTGAATATTTTGTTCCAAATTATACTCCTGTCCTGCCAAAATAACGTCTGGTAATTAACTCATTTTCTCAGAAGAGTTCTGATATGCGCATGAACAATTCAAACTCTCTTTAGTTAAACAGATACTACACCATGCAATTTCCTTATTCATCTTAATCTATAAATGGAACATAATCTTACCGGAAAAGGAAAAATGTTGTCAGCCCTGTTCAAGCTATCTTCCATCCAGGATTTAGGAGCAAAGGCAGAGCTGGGGCGAGCGTACTTCTGCAGCTGAATATGATTGCTTGCAAAATTTTTCTTCAAAGGCGAGATGGAGTTCAGGGGCGTTATTCCTCCATTCAGCCCTCTGCGGTGATCTCGGCCTTGGGAACCTCCCCAGCCACCATATCCACCACCTCCCGGGCTCCACGAAGAAGATGGTGTAGGAGAGGGGCTCTGGTAGCTGCTCCACGGAGAGGGGGGTTTGTTAAGATTATTCGCCAAATGAGGCAGCTGGTTAAAAGCAGCATTTCTATGTGTGAAAGGCGGGGGATGGGGACTGGCGGGAGACCTCCTCTGCTGCTGATGCTGGCTGTGATGATGCTGGAAATGAGGGTGATGAGGGTGGTGCTGTGACAGAGGCCCGATCTGAGGGGAGAAGCTGCCTCCAAAGCCAGGGCTGACGTGATGGGGGAAATTCTGAAACAACAGAGCACCGTTATTGGCCGAAGCAGCCGGGACCCCTCCCTGGTGAAAGAAACTTGCATCTTCATTGATGATTGTAGAGGAAGAAGGTGCTATCGCTGCCGACCAGTTACTGAAACCAGTAAGAGACGATGCACTAGACGTCAAGGGTTGGGTCGAAGTCCCCAGCCCCGTGGCTTCTTGATAATCAAACCCTGTCAACACTGGCGATTCGATTCTTATTTTCTCCTTCCCGTTGCCGTTTTCCGAAGAATTGTCCCCCTGATTTTCTTCCGACTTGGTCTTCTCGGTTTCAGGCAGTATTCCGGCTTCCTGACCTGGACTGGGGGAGAGCTGCTGCTTTTCTAAAGGGTCTTGCTGTTCCTGTGGCTGACTTTTTGCTTTTTCTGACCCCAGTATCTCATCCTGAATGTTATGGGTAGCTGGAGCGGGAAAGAGCCAAGCTGACCCCGCACTGCTGCCGTTGGCAGCTGTGTTATTATTTATAAAAGCAGCAGGGCTGGGGGTGGCATTTTGGTGATGGTGTGGAGGCTGCAGATGTGGATGGAATCTGACTGGAAAAGCAGATTTATTCCCAGTATTGCTTTGCACTAGCACTCCAAACCCGTAATCCCCCATTTATCACTTTTAGGATCAGAATCTTACGATAAAAAAGGGCAACCCGATGTCCCGCGTCTTTGCGTCCTCCACCCGAAATTTAAGTTGTCTGTTTGCAGTGTCTTATTTATATAGCTAGCTCAAAGATCGCAGCTTATCACTCGAAATAGTTCTGATTGGGAATTCTGGTCTCTGAAAGAAAGAAAAAACTAAAAAAAAAAAAAAAAAAAAAAAAAAAGTCTCTTAACACATGGACATGAATCCGACTGGGCTTGTTTCTAGGAGGGAATAAAAACGAAGAGGGCAAAACTCAAGTCTTTGGTTAGTAAAATAGGCGCTTTCTTTTTCCAAAGGAAAATGTACATGAATGACAAAAACACAGCTTCTCAAGCATCTATGGATGTAGAAGAATAAGCCTTGCGCGGAGTAAAAATATATATATATATAATTTAACAATCACATATGGTCTTCCTCAGCAGTTTAGATTCACTCACATAAAAATTAGAATAGGGCTAAGAGGAGAATACGTTCTTTTCTTGGCAGCTTGGTTAAAAAAAATCAGGAATAATTTAAGAACATTATATATTATATATTTATATATATAGATTATATTAGGTTATCTGGGGCGGGAGGTGAATTCCTGGTTGCGGGAGAGGAAATCAGCATTGACTAATGGAAAGATGATCGCAGGGAGGTCTCTGCTGTTCCCGGTCCTGTTTCTGCTCTTTCACGGGGCGCAGTTTTGGCCTCGGGGGCTGTTCCTGAGGCTCTGGGTGCAGATCTTGCTGCGGTCGCTGTTCCTGGGCTCCCCCCCGGCCTCCTCTCCCCCATGAAAGGGGTTGGAAACACCCGTTTCTCCCTCTTGGGGGGATCGCGATCAGCAAGGATTAGCGAGACTCGACGACAGGGAGCTGGCGGCCCGGGGGTGCGGGGACCAACGGGGCGACCTGGAAGGTCCTGCAGTTTCGGCCTCTTCCCCTCTCTGCGGCTCCGGGGTTTTTTTCCCTCATGGGACCCAGGGGCGGTTTGTTCAGTTCTCTCAGTTCGATTCTCCGCAGGGGGGGGGGGGGGGGGTGGGGGGTGGGGGGGGCAGGGAGAGGAAAAAAAGGGAAAACCCACTAGTGTAGTTATTCTAAAAGAAAAGGGCCTCCCCCCTTTGTGCTCTCTCTTCTTTCCCTCAGATTAAAAAAAAAAATCTATAATTTAGAAGGCTTTTGTTTCTCCTCACGGTTGCTGGGCCGTCGTCGCCGCCGCCGCCGTCACTTTGCCCCGGTCCCGCAGTCCCCACTGTCGTTGTTGCGGACTCCGCCTGGCTCTTCTTTTGCTCTCCTTCTTCCTCCTCTTCCTCCTCTGCTGTCGCCGATGCCGCCGCCGCCGCCGCCGCCACCGCCTCCCGGTGTCCGGGTCCCGCAGCCGCGGCTGAGTCCTTCTCCTCAGGACCGAGCCGAGTGAAATGACAACCAGCTGGAAAGACCGAGAGACACTTCCGGTTCGAAGAGGGAGGGGTGGGGTACCGAGGGCACCCCGCCCACCTGTCGAAATACCAATCAGCTGTTAGAATTTGGACGAGGCCACGCCCCCCGGCTCCGGTCCCCTCCCAGGAAGGTCGAAAGCTTACCTCGAGAGACGCCCCTTCCGTCTGCGCCTCGCCCAGTGAGGCCTGGCGACTGGAACCCGCTCCCCCACCCAGAGTGAGCGCAGCAGGTTGCCATCTTTAGTGTGGGCACAGGATTCCTTCGCTCTTTATCTCCCCTCCCCTCTCTTTGCAGGAGTTGCATGTAGGGACGCACGGAAGAGAACGGATCCCTCGAGCACTAAGAAAAAGAGCCAGGGTCTTGCGGATCCGAGTGGCGACCGGTAAAACCAAGGATGAACGGGAGGCCTGCCCACAGTAAAGGTGGGTCCCCGGGCATCACGTGCTTTGGCCCGAGCTCCGCCCCAGAGGGATCTGGAAGGGGAGGCGGGTCTCCCCAGCCTCTGTGCCGAGCCTGGAACTGCGTACGTCCTTGTCCTGCCTGTTGACCTCACGCGGGACTCTCCCTTCACCTTCCATTACACCACCCCCACTCCCCAGCGTGGCTTAGCTGGGAGACTTGGTGCAGTCTATCAGGCGCAAAGATACAGCTGCTGTAAACGTACGTGGTTGAGACCTCTTCGTCCTATTCTAGTCTGCTCTCCACACCGTACCAGAGAGACATTTCCAACACGAAAATCTTACGGTCTCCCTCATCTGTTCCGGTCTTTCTATGAAAAAGGCCAAACTCCTTAGTCTGGTATTCAAGGCCTTTCCGCTCTGTGGGCGGTTGTATCTTAACACCTCATCTCCGAACAAATGCCCCACACCAAGCTGCTCCAAACACCCTCCCGGTGCCTTTTAACATGCCCTTTTCTTTATTCTCCACTTGGTAAACTCTTGTTTTCATCTTAGGAATCAGTTCAAACGCTACCAGCTCTGCCTCCTGAATTCTCTTAACGAGCATCCATGGCCCATTAGTCCTGTGTGTCTCATGCTCGTTTATCCCATTATTGTAATGGCTGCTTATGTCTGCCAGACCTGGGCTCACTGAGGAGAGGACCTTGTGGATAGGAAGACATGGGTGAATGAATGCTGAAGAAATGGATCAACAAACCAACTACAGTGGACGCTATCTGGAATGACAGTCCCCTTACCAAGTCTGAATTAATTCATTCCTTTTGCTGTTTGGAGTTCACGCCTCTCAAACTCTTATCATTTGGGTGATTCATTAGCTGCTGCAGCGTTGGTCTTGTTCATCTTTGTACATTCCCACTTACGACCGCCATCGGGGACTAGGGTAATGCCTCCCTCTAAAGATGATGAATAAGTGTTTCCCTTTAGTAGGAAATGAGAAATGAAAAATGAAGAGAAGGAATCACAGTAGAGCCAGAGTAGGAAAAAAAGAGCAGTCAAAAACTTTTAAGAAGCAGCTCATGAACACAGGTGGCTTCCATTTCATATCTATTAGCCTTCCCTGAATGGTCCTAACTTCTTCTTCTGCCACAGTTCCTCCATCCTCCAACACTTCCATGTAGAACGCCTGTTTAGAGCCTGAAGCAGTGATTTTTATTCTCTTTCCTTCTATCCTGACCATGAGTCTTACCTCTGCAATTCTATTTGGAGTTCTTTGGGCATAGGGATTGGGTCTTAGTCTGCTGTTTGTTCCCCACGACGGGACATACCTTGAGTCTTGCCGGTTCGGTTCCACCAGAGTGTCCAAGGTGTCATTTCCTCCAGAATGGTTGCCCTGACTGCCCTCTCTCTAACATCTTGTAGACTCCTCTCTTTAAATTACTGCTAGTTGTCAGTGGGTTCATTTCTTAAGGGCAAAGGTTTTACCCGGTTATCTTTGTGCCCCTAGTGGCCAGCGTAGGGTCCGGCACAGAGCAGGCTCAGAACACGTTTGTTAAGTGAATGAATGAATGTTCAGTACCCAGTAGATGGTTGAGTCTTTTGGAGCTACCAATTCTCCGTGGCTAAAATGGCAGCCATGACTTGGGGGAAGAAGGACTGTCTTTGGAGCCCAACAGTGTAATTTGAATCCCACCTCTACTTCTACTTCCTGGTTGTACAACCCTGGGCTTTACCTCTATGAGCCCCACTTCCTTATAGACCAAATATGAATGATGTTTTCCTCTCTCACTAGGTTAGTAAATTACACGAGCTACGTGTGAAGTGCTGGGCTGAGGTTTTTTAAAATATCAGTTCCTTATTAACATATTAAGTGCAGAGAACTTGTACTTCACAAGTGTCTTTTGCCTAGAAGCAGCTGTGAGCATGACAGAATCCAGGAACCCGTGTTGCTTTGTACGAGGAGGAGGCAGACCTGGGCCACAGTCAGGGTGCTGCTAGGTCAGCCTGTTCTTTTAAGACTAAATCAAGTATGGGCAGTAGGTTTAGGCTGGACTGGAGCTAATTGTCACTATAGACACCGGGCTCCTGGTTAGGGAGGAGAAGCTTGGGAGAAGGAAGAGGGAAACAATTCTCTTGGATCATTTGTCTACTCAGAAACCCAGGATACCCACCCCAGGGCTGCCCTCCTTAAAAACGTTCTGGCCTCGGAAACTGGCCTAGGTAACCATGACAACAATTCAGCAGCTCCATTTAGGATCTCCAAAGGGATCTACAGTTGTAGATGAGTGCTGGCTTGAACGCTGTGCTGGCAGAAGAGAGCCCCTCCATGAAGCATGCTCCCTGGGAACCTTTCCGTTTGCAGAGAAAGCAAGCTCTGCACAAACATTAAGGTGCTACCGGATAAAAACAAACAAAGCGAAACAAATAAACCTCCCTCCCTGTCCAGCAAGGAGCTGACACACCTTCAGAGAACTTGTAGCGTAGTGAATGCCTGTACCTTGCTGGCTGTTGCCCAGCCCCCTCTGGGGTTTGAGGTCAACCACACCCCAAACCCAAGCCTCCCAGGAAGCATGACCCTAATATCTCCTTCACCGGCCTCTTTTAAAGCTTGGCAGGTGATATAAATCTCACCCCGTAATCACCCACAGTGAATTCTGCCCCACTCCCAACTCTGATGTCCTCCACCACTGCCCTTGAAGCATCCGTCAGCCTTCCCAACAGCACACACCCCACTCCCCAGGGGCCTGTCTGGTGACTTTAGTAACCAGCGCCACCACCCAAGGCCACTCATGTTGTGCACTGTGCAATTCCATAAGGCGCCACGGACTATTACGGGAATGCCACCCCCTGGAGTTATACAACGTGGCGGCCCTGCTTCAGTTCATCTGAGTAAAACGCAGAGGCACCTTGTGAAAAGATGACACCCATACAAAAAAGTACCTAGGTACTACTGTAAATTCTATGAGCACATTCTTATTGCATGCAGAAACATTCAAAGCAGTTGATCCATTTAGAGTTTAGAGTTGGTGGCCCAGGAGCTTTCTGTGATGGAATTGAAGGACACGGTGTCCTTGATATTGTTGAGTAGTGAGCTGTAGTGAGAAGGCAAGTCTGGGCAGGTTCATGGTCCCGTCCCCTAAGAGATTAATACCCAGCTACTTTGCCTAGCTCTGTTAATAAGCCTTTTAATGTAGTGGTAGAATATATATTTTACTGGAACTAAGAAAATATAAGAGTAGTATATTCAGAGGCAGGTCCTGTGAAGGTACAGGAAGAGAGAAGAGTGGAATTACTTTTGGAATATCTTCTTGTCCACAAGCATCTGGAAGCTTACTCCCAGAAGGCAAGCTAGACAGAAAAAAAACCAAGTCCCGAAAGTAGGTTTTATTAAACCCCGCCTCCGATCTCCACCCTGTTTTGATATTGAAAAGTGTACATGTTTCCTTAAAAAAAAAAAAAACAAAAAAAACACTGTTTTGTTTCGTTTTGTTTTATCGTTAATTGCTGGGTTATATTTTCCCTTTTTGTTTGTTGTTTTACAATCTGCACGAACCCTCTGCGTCTTAAACACTGTTTTCTCCCTGCTTTCTCATTCAAGGTTATTATCATTAACATAGAGTCCATATTAACAAGCCATTTTGGTGGGGGTGGTGAAGTCAGTTCCTCCAATGCACTGTTACTGCCTAAATGGCTTGGAAAGGTCCTGGACACAGACATGCTTCACTTGAAATTGCCTTCTCCTGGCAAAGATTTAGGTGAGCAGGAACAGGGGGTTGACCTTCCAAACTGTGACATGCATCACATGGGATGACTGTTGTGGCCTCGGCCACCTATGTGGATGGGCTGCCGACCTAGATCACCCCTTGCTGTTTTGATTGGACACACTTCACTTCCCTGCACCAAACCCTGGCCTTACTGTTGAACAGCTGCCATCTCATACCCTGTGGATAGGCCGGAGGATTTTCACCTGTGAGACTAGAAAAAGAATAGCTTTCTGGAGCTTGCAGGGAAGACGTAGGGCCCAGAGGTCAGACCCAAATTCTAGCCCCAGCATAGCCATAAGTTCATAGGCACTGGTTCACTCTGATGATTTCCTTTCAGCCGGAATTTTTACTACCGAAAGAGTTTCACTTTGGAACTCTTAACCAATAAAGGTTCAAAGAAAGGCATTATAAAAAAAAAAATTGCTAAATTCTTTACTAAGTAACTAATTTCTTTTATATCCAAGTTTCCTGGTCCCCTATTCCTGGAGTATATATATTCCTAAAGAACAGTTATGAGTTGATTCATAAGCATCCAGCCTCACACTTTAGTGTGCACTGGGCCTCTTAGCAGCCTGTCAAATGCAGATTTCTAGGCCCCGTCCCCCCCAGGATATTCTGATTAAATTTTCTCATACTGCTTTCTCATAAATTTTAAAGTACAAGAGATTCTCTCAAAATTATGTAAGAGCACAGAAAAAAACAAAATCACAATGGCCCAAGCAAAAACAACTTCCTTTCTCACATAAAAGGGATTTGAGAGAATCAATAGAGGGCTGGTGGGGTGGTTTCAGGAAGTCATCAGAAGCTGGGTTCCTTCTATCCCATTCCTTCCCTCCCTAAAATGTAACTTCTGCCTATGATCCAAGATAGTTGATCAAGCTCCAGCCATCACATCTGTATTTTAGACTGAAGGAAGGAGGGAAAAGATGAAGAAGACATGACCCTTCTGTTTGAGGAAACTTTTTGAAAGACCTACACATCACTTCCGTTTTCCTTCCCCCGGCAGGAACTTGGCCATATGCAATTTGGGCAAAAGAGGTTGGGAAGTATGGTCTTTATTTCACGCGCAGGTGACTCGTTAAGAAGTGACACTCTATTACCAGTGAAGAATAGGGGAGGTGAATACTGATGGATGAGGCACTTTGGCCTAGAGAAGTTCAGTGTCGTACCTGAATTGTGTACTCGAGTCAGTGCCCTCATTCTGCAGTTGAGGAAACAGGTCCAGGGAAGGGCCGTATCTAAAATCAGTTATTTTGCTCAGATAGTTTGACCCAGAACTCTTCCTCTTCCCAGTGGTCCTCAAATTTAGCGTATTTCAGAATTACCTGGAGGACTAGTTAAAACTAGAATTTCTGATTGAATAGGTACGGGGTAGGGCCAAGAATTTGCACGTCTAACAAGTTTTCAAGTGATGCCAGTGCTGCTGGTTTGATGGAACATGCTGTGAGGACTAGTGATCCATTGAACGTCCCCACTGGGCCTTCAATTCACTGTGACCAGCCTTAGTCCACCTCCCATTTTCTCTGGTTTGCTAAATGGTGCCATGATTCATTCTCTCGGTTGGCTAAGCCAAACATAGGAGTCATCCTAAACTCCTCCTCTCTCCTCCTCCATCCTCTTAGAGTTGGACCCCAGGTTTTCTTCATTTCCTCTCCTCAGCATTTCCTCCTTCTCTCCATCTCCTACTTTGGTTCAAGTCTGCTCAGGTCTCACCTGGATTTTTTTGCAGATGCTATCTTCAGGCTTAATACCTGGCTTTGCTCACTGAGTCTTTCTAAATGGGGAGTCTAATTGCTCCATTGTTTAAACACTTTCAGTGGCTTTGTGTATTTTTCAAACCTCAAGGATTTTCATTCCAGCCTCACAATTTTTGCCATATGGGGGTAGCTCCTGCATTTAATAGGTTTCCTTAAGTTGGCCTACCTTCTACAAAAAACTTAAAAACTTGTTCAAGGTAATGTGATTTACCACTCAAAAGGAGCAACAATTATCATTCACTAGAACCTAAAGGTATGTTGTGACATATAAATATTGAAAACAAAATAATGGTGTGAATTTCTCCTAGATCCCAGATTACAAATCAAAGGCCCTAATTTCGAGGGCTTCTTCCTCCGTGTTAAAAAGGAAGATTAATAAGGTTAGAAAGGTGCTAAAGGCTTACTAGCCCAATCTTGAAAGGTCTTCTTTACATAATTAGAGGGACTGAAAGAGAATGGAAAGGGAACTCAGTTTCTCACTGTGCGACTTAGGAGTACACACTGCGTTGTCTGGGTACCACGTGCAACCATCTCGTGGACCCCACTAGAAAAGGACCCACTGTCTGAAAAGCACTGCCAGACTCCTTAACATGGCATCCCATGCACCTCACCAACCAGATGATGGTTCAGCATCATTTTGTGCAGCTCCCCCAGAACCTTGTTCCAACCATCCTGAAAAACTTGAGGTTCCATGAACCTGCCATCAGTCACAAATACCACTTGCTACAAGTCACAGAATGCATGAGTAAGAATGACCTAACCAATAAGAGGTTATTTTTCTCACACATCAAGGAGTCTAGAGGTGGGCGGTTGCTGGTGGGAGGTGACTGGTCAGTGATGTCAGAGCTCTGGGTTGGAATCTCTAGATGTCCTTGGCCTTTCCTTCAGGGTCTTAAGATGTCTGCCACAGACCTAGTCATCGTACTGTGACTTTCAGAGGCAAGAAACTAAGGGCTTCAAAGAGTTGAGTTTCTGGTCATGAGGTTTCTTCTGATCAAGGAGAGTAGGTCTTTCCCAGGGGCCTTCAGCATACTTCCTTTTACATCTTTTTGGTCAGAACTAGGTCATATGCCATGATCTAGAGCAAACCTGGGCCCACCTTTCCTGAGACCAAAGAACTCCCACCATGAAACGGAAAACAAAATCGGAATTCTGCTAGCAAAGGTAAAGGGAGAGTCTTTGGAGAAGTCAAAAAATGTCTCCCAAGCTCATCACACAATGTCCTTAAGGCCTTTCCATGTGTGTCTGTTTGCCAACAACACTTACTTTGCTTGCCAGGGGAACTCCTACTCAAGCACCCTCGTTGGCCTCCTCTGACCGCCCAGCAAAGGTGGTGTCTTCTCCTAAGTTGGCAGAGACGCTTGGCCATGTAATTGACTATTATGTAAATGACTTTTTAGATCCCAGTCACTAGAGCTGCTCCTCTGGGTCAGGCACTCTTTTCTCTTTTGTATCCTCAGGGCCTGACATTATGCCAGCACATAGTAGGCCTTTCATGAGTGTGTGATGAATTAAGGTTGAATTTTTTCATTTTTTTTTTCTGACATTCAAGCCACGAGTAAATCCAAAGTCATGCATGTTAGGTTGGATTTAACAACGAACACACTTTGGAAGATCTTATAAAGAGTACTCTAGATTTTATCGTTGCTCTTCTGTGTTGCTTTATGAAAAATACGGCCATCTCTTATTAGCACACACCAAGTTTATATTGGCATAACACTTCTACGATGCTGAAGATCTTTCTGGCGAATCAGTCACTGTAAATCCTGGAGAGTGGTTTTATAAACTTAGTAAACCACTTCAATCTTGTGTAAGGCACATTATACAGGGTAATAGCTTCGTTGGGCCAAGTAAGTTTAGGTACAGTTCCACGATTGCATTAAGCTAGCCTTTATTGATATACCCTCAATGTTAAACAGCTTCTTAATGAGGTGAATTGCCTTGAAGCCATTGGATAGTGCACACACACACACATATGAATACGTGTAAAATCATCACCACCCCCAAAACAACTACAGAGGCAGTAATTATATAATATTAATGATCAATATACAGTTGGATGTACCCGTTTCTAAGGTCGCTGAGTTGATTCTCAGTAATGGGTTTCCAGAAACGACCCAGTCCCCACAAAAGCACCTTCAGGTTCAACAGCCCGTGTAAAATATAATAAATGCATAAATAATTTAGCAAGAGAAATAGGTAGCATTATGGCCACACTTCTGTGTGGCTGTTATTTAAGAGCCTGGCAGCTTGGCAGTTAGAAACCACAATGTCCAGGGTGCTGTAATTCACCATTTGCTCAGAGTTAAAATGAGGCAGAGGAGAGCTCCAGGCCCCTCGCTCATTTTTCATTTAGAGGCGTTTTTTTTTTTTAATCCATTTGGCCATTTAAGTTCTAAAAATAGAAAAAAGGAAAAGAAATAAACATGATTCAAATTTAGGAATTTAGAGGCTGCTTGGAGCCCTCATTAGGCAGGGTCTGGGATGCATTTTCTAAGCAACGTTCTACGAACTTGCAAGTGCATGGTGCGAATTTAAACATTCATTTCATTGTGCTTGTGTTTCTTTTTAATCCCTAGATGGTGGTTTACGAGGCAGAGTTTCTCGAATTCTAATCTTTTTATATGCTCAAGCACATACTTTTTGCTGTATTATTATATTACCTTTTCTATTATTCACCCAATGTTATTTGTAAATGGACTCAATTTTTTAGAACTTAGCTAAATAAGTTGAAAATGTTGTGGAGCAATATAAATAGAAAAATCAACGTCATGTCATAAACAGATGCTGTCATTTACTTTTTCCTAACACACTCTGAAATAAACATATATGGACTCAAACACAAGTCTAGTGATTCAGGGTTTATACTGAAAGCATCTCAAAGGACTGTCGGTGGCACTTTTAGGGAAGCACTGACTTACTGGTTAGGAACGCACACCTTTTAAATGGGGCAGGATTGGTCTCAATCCCATTTGCCAGAGTGCCATTTGCCATTTGCTGGATGACTCATGAGCAGGTCTGCTTGTCTTTCTGAGCCTCAGTGTCTGCATCTGGAAAACAGGGATAAAAATGATTAAGCAGTTAGTTGTGAGGATAATATGAGGCAATGCATGTAAAGCTCCTGTCTGAGCTCCCCGCCTAGAGCAAATGTCCACGAAATGTCAGCTATGATTATTACTCACTTGTGATTGGGGAGATGTGGGTGATTACAGAGCACCAACCGCCAACAAACTCAGTTCAGAACAAATAAAATACATATACAAATAAAATAGTTTACGATGTGACTTCGTGGTAGGCTCTGGGGACACGCAGATGATTCTCAAATTGATGGTTCTAAAGAGCTCGTGACAGCAGGTGTATAGGAAGTGCAGTGAGAGGTATGTGCTCAAGTAATTTTGGCAGACCAGAGGAGAACATGATGAAACTCAGCATCAGGAAAAAAAATCCATACATCAGGCCTTTGCTGATGGGTTACGGGGACATATGTCAGTACTGGAAGGTACCAAGTAAATTGGATTTCTGCCGGAAAACAGAAGATGCATGAAATTCAAACGTACATACAGCAATGGAGACATATCATGATTTACTTCTGGGCTTGAGTGACATGAATGAATTGGAGAATATCATTTTCAAAACCAAATAATGGTCAAACAACATATAAATGGAATTTTGATTTTCTTTCCTTCCATTGAGGTCACAGACAGGTGGTTCACGGATACTTTAGATTGGGCTTGCAGAGTAATTTACCTTTTTTTTTTAAGTTATTACTTGCTATCATGTAGAAATTATGCAATTTCATAAGAAAACCAAGACTTGTATTTTTTTTTTTTAATGGAAGATGTGGCCATCTGGATTCCTACATATGGCAATTTAGGGCTGGAGTTAAGTAGTTGCTACTCTTGTAAGATGGGGCGTTTGCTATCTAGTTCGCCATGGTCCCAATCCATCCAGCTGATAATGTTGACTAAGGAGTCAGGCAAGTGGGACCCTGCCTTTGGCCCCATGCCTTAGAGGCACCACTCTGTCCCCTCTCCAAAGGTGACCTTCTTCACGCAGCCAGAAGTTCATTGAGCCAAGGGATGCCTGCACTACCTCTTATAAACCATACTACTGGAGCCGAGGGACCCTGGAGCTCCCTGCCCATATGACCTGTGCCGGCTTCCAGAGCCTGTAGAGACCTCTTTGTCAGTTAGTTCTTCCAAAGGTGAATGGCATACATACCCTGGGCCTAAGGAATGGCAAGAGAAAGCTAGGGTGTTTTGGTGGGGAAGGAAAGGAATGAAACTTGAATGTGCAGGCCAAGGTGCCCATCCACTTGCACAAAGTCCTTTTCTGTGCGAGCTCAAGTCAAGCATGGGAAGAGTAGAAGAGTGGATGGTCTGTTACAGTGTGTGTGTGTGTGTGTGTGTGTGTGTGTGTGCACGCGTGTGTGTTATCTTGGGCTAGGGACCAGTTCTCTCTGTATCATCATCTTTAGGTAAGGAAGTCTGAGGAGTCCGAGAATTCTAACTTTGAACTTGGCCTTACAGGTCATTGTAAAGGTGTATTTGTCAATGTAGGAGACTACCCGATACTTCGGTTTATTAATTCTATTTATAACTTGTAAGTATTTCAACATATGGTGGATGGACTTCCATTTATACTCTTTCTCTGGGCCTGCAAATGTTAGTAAGTATTAATAGTGGGCCAGCAGGTGGATTTCACTTCTTTCTCTTTGCTGCCTGACCCCCATTAGTACTTGAGTTTGTGGCTCCCACTAAACTGTGAGCTTCATGAGGGGGGCATCCAGCCATGCCGCCCCTCGCCATGTATCCAATTAATGTTGAATGAGTGACTAGGTAATCTGAGAGCAAATATTTCAGGTTAGTCCTTTTGGAACTACTTTCTTCTGTCATCTATGTACACACATCGCAATTATTTAAAGTTTTCTCCTTAGAAATATGATTAACCTCTAGACTTTTTTTTTATTTTTTTAATGTTTATTTATTTTTGAGACAGAGAGAGACAGAGTATGAACGAGGGAGGGTCAGAGAGAGAGAGGGAGACACAGAATCCGAAGCAGGCTCCAGTCTCCAAGCTGTCAGCACAGAGCCTGACGCGGGGCTCGAACTCACGGACTGTGAGATCATGACCTGAGCCGAAGTCGGCCGCTTAACCGACTGAGCCACCCAGGCGCCCCCTCTAGACCTTTTTTTTTTTTTTTTTTTTTTTTTTTGGTGATTTCTATTTTTCTGATTTAAAATGAATTTATATGCATGGCAAAATAATCCAAAAGGTTTAAACAGCACAAAGAACCTCATGCATTGCCCTAACTCCACGGACGCCACCATTATTCACATTCTGATATCTTTATTTCCAGTCTTTTTTTCATCCATTTCTTTTCATAGTTGAGACCCTGCCCAGGGATTGATGACAGTAAGCTGCCACACTCCAACTATTTGAGCCATGTTTCTGCTGCTGTTTGTCATCCCTATGATGCATTTCAAAAGATAAATTGCCTAAGAAACTTCTCGATTTCACGGAGAAATATCGAAGTGAGGAGTGTTATGAACACTTTCCAGAGAGGTGAATGACCAGGTTCTAAATTTGTGTGTGGGGGAGAGTTCATGATATATTCTACTTACCGATCGTTCATCATTTTTATCAACATCATGATCACCATCGAGGGTCAACTATTAGCCATCTAATTGTTTACAGCCTTTTTCCGTGGTGCTCTGTCTGAAAAATGCTGCCTACGCTTGGCCCGTTCCATTTCAAAGGTGACAGACTGCCCTGTGTACATGCACGTGGTGCAGTCAGCAGTCCGCACACATGCATCAGGTGACGCACCCTTGAGATTCCAAGACTATCCAGGCCAAGAGGGGAGAGATGACTAGATTCCAAATTGCAGTAAGCATGACAAGCCAGTAAAATAAGGGTGCCATGGGGACGCGGAAGAGAAGCTGCCTTACTCAGCCTGGGCTCCGGGGAGGGCTTCCAAGAAGAGGCGAAATTTGAGCGCTGTCTGGAAAGCTGAGCTAGGGGTTGGCAGGTGTGGAAAGGAATCGGGTGTCGGGGTGAGGCCCCTCAAGGGTGTGGCTGGTGAAGAGGAGGGCACCTAACCCACATTCATTGACAACTGTGTGCTATGCATTGAAGGGCCATGCTGGATCCTAAGAAGATAGAGATGGACAGATGAATGAATGACTGACTATATGAACAGACCTTTGGGTGACATCCCACCTAATAGAACATTTCAGATCTACATCCTGATAATGAAGCCCAAGTCCGAGGCATTCTAGAATATCCCTAATAAAAGTAATTTAAAACACCCTCTACACTCTGGCAGTGCCTGTCAAAAATGTACATAGCCCATGACCCAGAAATTCTATTTCTTGGTTTCTGCTGTAAAGAAAAAACCTGTTCAAATAACTTGCTTGTGTAAAAGGGTATACATCACAGCACTCTTCGTAAAAAAAAAAAAAAAAAAAAAAATAGGATCAACCAAAATGTGCAGAGATGAATGGTTGTCAAAACTAGGCTATATCTATCCCATGGAACTGTATGGAAAGTTAGGGTTAGTAGATTTATATACACACAGTAAAAGCTCCAAGACAGCCGAAGTGGGGGGGGGGGGGGAAGTCAAGCAACATACATACAATATATCATTTGTGTAAAAAAGTGACTTTTACATTGTGTGGGCAAAAAAATATCATGTTTCCTATAGTTACAGAGATACACAAGTTTTTATTAGTTCAATAGAGACACATTTCATATAAACACTCAGATAACAAATTAAATGCTTTACCAGAGGACGGTTGTTGAACTGCAAACCATGGCTACCTGTGAGGGAGGCAGAGATTGGAGGAGAGTACAGAGAGCCTGTATTCTGTGAATGAGTTCTGCAATTAAAGACTAATTACAGCAATGAAAATGTTCTAACTTTCGTGATAAATCAGTACCACCTATCTGGGAATAAATTGAGCAACGTGAAATAAGACACTAAAATGTTCCTAGCCTGTGAGTGAGTCATTTTCCTTTTAGAAATCCATCCAAAGGAAGTAACCACAGAGAGCTGCAAAGATTTTCATATAAAGATATTCAGTGCAGGGGTTCCTGGTGTGGTTCAGTCGATTAAGCGATTAAGCATCTGACTTCGGCTTAGGCTGTGATCTCAAGGTTCGTGAGTTCGAGCCCCATGTCGGGTTCTCTGCTGTCAGCACAGAGCCCGCTTCAGATCCTTTGTCTCCCTCTCTCTCTCTGCCCCTCCCCTGCGCACGCTCTCTCTCTTTCAAGAATAAACATGAAAAAAAAAGATGTTCAGTGCAGTATTATTTATCATAGTGGGGGGAAAAAGGAATCATCTGAATCATCTGAAGTGTTCAATTAAATGGGTAAAACTTAAGTGGTAAGTTTTCATATGGAATGTTGGGTAGCCATCAAAACTTGGTTGCAGAAGAATTTTTATTGACTTGTAAAAATGTTAACAAAGTACTATGAAATCAGAATATAAAAATGTGAAGATAGTATGATCCCTAATATAATACAAGCACAAAGGCACATAGACAAAGCCCATGAGGGTGGGGTACAGGACCCAGGAGAGCAATTTGACTGGGTCTCATGTTCACTTAAGGTCTCAAATTTAGCCTTTTGACACAATCTCTCTCTCTCTCTTAATGTTTATTTATTTATTCTTGAGAGAGAGAGAGAGAGAGAGAGAGAGAGAGAGAGAGAGTACAAGTGGGAGAGGGGCAGAGAGATAGAGGGAGACACAGAATCCAGAGCAGGCTCCAGGCTCCAAGCTGTCAGCACAGAGCCCGACCCAGGACTTGAACTCACAAACTGTGACATCATGACCTGAGCTGAAGTCATACGCACAACCAACTCAGCCATCCAGGTACCCCTCGACATCATCTTTAAATGCAGTTTTATAAATAATCACAGGGATACTCTGAATAGTTACACTTACTCACAGATATACTGTTGCCATTTAATAATCATGTGACTCTGTTGCATGTAAACATTTAAAATACAGCATAATTTTCCCCCACCCTGCTATACAGTATTGCTTCACAAATAGAGGAAGCCCTGACTGCTCACTCACTGAGAGGGCCTGTTCTGCCACGGGCACACAGGGGCAGAAGGAAACACCCCAAATAGGACTGTGCACTCTTGGTGGTGGGATTATAGACTTTTTAATGGATAGTTCTCCCCTTTTCCTAAATTTTCTATACTGAACGTGTTGTATTTCTTTCATAATTTAAAAGTAGCTCTAAAAATAGAGTAAAAATTAAAACAAAAAACAAACAAACAAAAAAAAAACGGAAGAGGAAATGTCCTTCTCTAAAACACAAAAGCAGCTCCTGGTTCTAGAATGTGCCACATCAGGATGTCCCCAGCCGGAGACCGAGGCAGACTGGCACCAGGGCTGGACAGAAAGAATGCAGCTGGACCCTGCTTCAGTACGTCACTGAAAGGCCAGCGGTGACTTCTGCCCCCACCCCTCCCGACACTGCGCTTCTGTGTGAGGCCAGGGCAATTCTGCAGGCCACAGGGGCAAGACAATTGTGGTTCAAAGCAGGACCTGACAGTTGGAGGGGGTGGGGAGATAATCCAGGCTCCTGATAAACTGGGCGAACCTGCAGCCCTAGTTCCGTGGCTCTAAATCAGGGTGCGCGGGAGCCAGGAGGAGCTGCTCATTTGCAGGAACAAATGGGATACTCAGGTCGGGCTGATAAATAAATCCCTTTATCAGGGGACTTCAGAATAGGATTTATTTGCATGACAGACAAACAGCACCTCGGATGGCAGGCACAATAGGGTGAGAGAAGACACGAGTCACTAGATTAGAGTGGAATCTCTTATTAATGGATTCGGGCCCTATTCTTGACAGGTTCAGGGTGTGTGTGTGTGTGTGCGCGCGCGTGTGTTTTATAGCCAACAAAAGTGAATGCTCCTTCCCACCACCCTCCACCCTCGTGCTCCACGATTTCCTTTTTCTCCCCCACTAACAAAGCGGGTGTAACTGGTTCTATCAGCAGAACCAGCACACTGGCGTTCAGGGTTTCCCCTCGTGAGGAAATCGCTCCTGCCTCCTTGCAGGAGACACACAGGCACTGGTAGGTCAGGGAGCAAACAGAGTATCTAGTGGCGAGCAGCTGGGGCCGGGAGCCAGCACCCTCATTAGAGAAAGCTGCTGCTATTTCTAGCCTGCCTCTCTTCAGTGAAAGCAGGTCATTACAAACACAGCGCGTTTTTGCATATTAACCAAATTAAAATAATAATATGTTCTCTCCTTTCATGTGCTGTACTGATAAATCCCAATTTATGAATGAAACATGCTGATTAGTTAGTTAAAAAATAATTAGTCCCAGAATGTGTTTCTGAGTCGGAGACTTAATGAATGCACACAAATACGTTTTCCCAAGTCCTCAGCACATTAGTCTTTTAAAGCAAAATATTCATAAGACGCGTTCATGAGAGACACATGATGAAGTAGCCTGATTTTATTTTTCTTCCTTTCGCACTGCGTGGGGGTAAAATTTGGACGTTATTTGGTGCCTTTCAGGCTGGGTCACTTTAGAGATATGGATCCAAGCAACGGCGGTTATACTCGATTGGGTTTTGACATTCAGAGTGCCGAGAGAAAAGGTCTCAGCCCAGAAGCTCCTTCTTGTCCTGGAGAGGACCTTCGAATTCTGTTATGGAGCCTTCATTTCTGGGGTCCAAAGGTTAATTACACAAAGGCTGGGGCAGCTGAGAATCAGGGGCTAGCATCCCCAAGACCAGGGTGCGGTCAATTAGATTTTCATCATGTTCCTACATCTGGGAAAACCAGTACTGGGTTTTGGACAAAATCTAGGTATTTGGGCCACTGAGAATCAGGGGGTTCCAGACGCTCCAAGGACAGAGGAGCAAAAGGATGACCACCAAGCTAAGGGCCTTTAACCTGAAGACCAGCTGACCATTTCTAACCTGGGAGGCTGTGCACAGCACAATTGTACCTTCCTGGGGCATTAAATTCTACGGCTTGTACTGCATTGTATATTGTAAAAAACCACCCTTGAAAATTCCTTGTCTTGCCCAACAGATGTATGTCATAAATAAGATGGTTTAGTTTCCGTTGTTGGACCAGACCGCTGTTTCTTTGATTGAACCTCCTGCGAACTACCGGCTTGCATTTAGGAACTTTGTTTTGGACTCTCCTTCCTGCGTCTCTGCCTTGACCTTTCCTTCGGCCCGCAGTTCGCCCTCTTGAAGTCTGTCTGTCTAATGAACATGCCCTCACAACTCAACTCAAGCACACTCTCCTCTATGAAGCTCTCTCTTAGCCCGCCACGAGTTGATATTCCCTCAGTTCTGTGTAAAGGCTGGGATCTGTTCTGATGCGTTGGGCAACCATTCAGACTTGTCTGTCTGCGCCAGTTGTAAGATATCTTGAAACTCCTCTCGATCCCTCCTCCCCACTCTGTGGTCCCACAGCACTCTGCAGGTATCTCTGTCTTTGTTGTCCCGGGTTTTCTTTGTTGGTTTTTCCTTTTCTGCTTCCCTACCTGACTGTGAGTCAAGAGAGGACAGGTTTGACTATCATTCATCTCTGTAGCTAGCCCAGGGCTGGCCACTAGAAGGTATCAATAATGGAGAGAGGGAGGGGACTAGGAGAGAGGAAGATGGGTAGAAGACGAGAAACATGGGGGGAAAGGGAGCTGGTGTATTTTGGGCCCATGTGCTGATCACCATGAGGAAGTGGCCGCAGGCTGTAAAGCTGTCTTTATAGACACCTCCCCCAGCCATCTGCCCCCAAAACTCTGGCACAAGAAATCTCTGCCTTTCCTAGAAAAATTTCAGCTCCTATGCAAATGGTATATAAGTGTTGAGTATTATCTGCGTTTTGCATTTGGAAAGAAAAAAAATCTCTTGCCCTGGCCTGTGTCTGTTTTATTGTCCGGCCCTTTGAGGCTCTGGTCTGTGAGTGTCTGTGCCAGTGTGTGTGGCTGAGAATGGGCGCTTTATGTGCAAAGGAAGCAAGGCTTTTTTTGGCCGGTTCTCTGAACCCAGCTGCCAGTCACAGGGCTGGCTGCCTCAATCCGCATCAAGGAAGTCTCGGTCTGTATTTGAGTCCTGTGCTAAGGAAGCCGCTGCCTTTCAGGGCAGGCCTCTAGGACATCCCTCGAATCGGGAGTGCCCTGGGCCATAGAAGGCTCGCAGCCCAAGTGCCAGGCAGCACAGAGGAAGGGTACAGAGCCCTTATGTGCCTTTCTCTTCGGGAAGCTCCGTGCTGCCGTGAAAAGGAATCGGGCTGACAGTGCAAATCTGCCTGTAAATCTTCCGCTGGGCGATCTCAGGCAGGCTTTTCGACCTCTCTGTGCCTCAAGTTTCCTCATCAGTAACATGGGGAGAACAGAATTGCCACCTTGATAGAGTTGCTGTGACGAATTGACACACCGCACCTGATCACGTTTTGTGAACGGAAAGGTTAAACGCATGTGTCGGTTAACAGGAGATCAAAATGGGGGTTTTAGCAGAGGCACCAAGGTGCGACAGCGGCTACATTTCACGGGCGGGGCGGGGCGGGGCCAGCCAAGCGAAGCCTTTTACAAAAGGAAAACCCAAAAACCAGTTGCACACTTCTCAAAGCTCTTCACCACTGTGGAGGAGAGAACTGGGTTGGGCTGTTGAAATGTGGGGAAGAGTTTGTGAAAACTTCTTCGGAAAAGGAGTTTGTGCTTCGGCCTTAGCCCTTAGGCCAGCGGGGACTCTCAGAGAGCTTGTGTCGTGTGCCCTGCCGTGGGGGGTGGGGGGCCTGGGTCTGACGCATGCTCTTGGAAGTGACCGTGGCTGATGGCAGCAGAGGAGGGGAAGTAGGGATATGACCCTAGGTGGCAGGTGAGAGGTTGTAATCATAGGTGGTCACAGCAGGGACGTCTCCAGAAAATCTAAGTGTCAACCTAAAACATCTGTCACACTCAGAGAGTGCAAAGCCAGCCTTCGACAATACACACAACTGAGAACTTTTCTATCCCCCTTACCTTCTTGGAGGATCCAGAAAACAGGCTCGCAAGCTCACGGAGGAGCAGAAATGCTGGCTGTAGGCCCTATCAGGAAGAGGAGAGGAGACAGAGGTAATGAATGGAGGCAGTGTCCCTGAATTAGGATGATCACTAGACCTTCTATGATCTAACGGTGATTAGGAAACTCATGGGCCTGACCATATTCTCATTCTGGAGCAAGGAATAGATTGCACACAATGAGTAGGTATAAAGGGAAATGATAGGCCAAAAATAAGAAGTTGTTTTATAGGAATCTTGCTTGTTCGATGTATTGGATACATTATTATCCCTTAATCAGCACGAACCACGTGCTAAGCGCTGTGCAAAGCACTTTATATTCTCAAATAACCCAGGGATGTAGGAGCTGTTCCCATGTTCATTTTGCAAAGGAGGGAACTGAGGTTCAGAAAAGTCGGATAACCTGCCATAGGTTGCAGGATGGGTGGGAAGGAGCCGGGATTGGGAGTCAGGTCGTCAGGCTCTAGAGTTGCCCTACCCCCTCCCACCTCCGTGTCTCAGTAGGCAGATCAGACAAGGTATTTGGTGAAGGGCTAAAGTTGTCCTTCATGCCTCCAAGTGCACTCAGCTAAAAATACTTCAAGAGCGCACAGGAATTCTCAGCAATCCCTTTGGGGAGGGACTCTAAGGAGACATGCTGTTTTGGTTAGAATGACTTGGTTTTAAATATCAAGACTCACTCAGGCTAGCTTAAGGCCAACAGGGAACATGACCGGGAAGACACAGGGATGTGTTCCCATCGCCTGTCGGGACTCTCTCTGCCTCCTTCCCTCTCCTTTCTGTTTCTTACTCCTCCTCTTTTTCCCTCTGCACATTCCACAGTCCATTTTGCAGAATGTGGCTGCCTCCGATCCCAAGTTAGGGGCAGGCTCCTCAGTGCCAGCTCTGCAGAGGCTGAATCCTGATGAGAAGTGTGGAGACAGTTTATATACAGTGAATATACACTGAGTATCTACTACGTGCCAGCCATTATCTTAGACATTTGGGATGTAGCAGTGAACAAAACAGGGGAGAAAAATCAAATCAAGACAACCCCCGGGGGTGGGGGGGGGGTGGGGCGTCCCCTCCAGTGAGATTCTGATTGGTCTCTTTAGGGTCAGCTGACCTCTTCCCCTGGTCCAGTCAAACATGCCCGGGGGCGGGATCACAGAGTAGAGGCTCGTGGCTGGAAGCCCAGCCAGGAGACTGAGCTAGGTGTGGAATCCAAAGCTGTCAATCCCTGAAGCCATTCCAGCCAGAAGATTTCAACCCACAGTTGAGCTAGTTCTAGCAAAGTTTCAGCCCTTCATAGTGGCTGCTCCCCTCCGTTAGGTCCCACTGGCAGCCTCTCTCGGGAGGGTCCCCACCTCATCAGCCTCGTCCCTGGTCTCTTTCATGCCAGGTTTGACACACATTGTCCTTTATCCCACCCTTTTGTGTCGGACGAAGCCAGATCTTATTTCCCTGTTGCTTTTTGTTCGTCTCTGCTCCCTGAGTGAATACCTTTCAGGGGGGAAATGGGGCGGTTTTGCCCTGCCCTGGTGCAGGCATCGAGCGGAGGCAGAGCGGGAACTGGGAGCCCACCCAGAGAAGAAACTATATACTGGGGCTCTTGTCCCCCATACGGTCCCTTCCGAGCCACTGACACTGCTTTGTACAGCTGGGCCTGGCTGTGGGGACCTTGTCAAAGTGTCCTCATCCTTCACTGTCCTGCAGGAGGGAATTACGGCGACCTGGACAGTTGGAGTCCTCTCCTGCTTCCTGTTTGATGGTCACTGTGATCAGCTTCGGTCCTGCCAGCTGCTGCTTTCCAATTGGCCGGGTTCTGGGCCTCCCACCTCCCTACCATGGGTGCAGCCATTTTCTTTCTTTCTTTTTTGTATGTCAGCCATGTCAGCCATGTCAGCCGCCATGTCAGCCATGTCTTTCTTTCCTTTTTGTATGCACGTAGTAACAACCCAACACCCTGACGGCAACTGTCAATGCATTCGTTACATCCCTCCTCCAACTCTGTTCCCCCCACGTAATCTCCACAGAGACGGTGGGCTGGAGCCAGGCTCTGGGGTCACACAGACCTGCAAGGTGGCCTATTCTAGGGTTGCCCTGAAGACGAAATGAGATAATGTACAAAATTCGAATAAGCACGTGTGCTATTAAGCATGTTCACACATCTTACTGATTTAATCATAGCACCTCCAAGAGGTAGGTACCATTATTCTACGGATTTTACGCACAGGGAGGCCGAGCCATCAACAGGGGCCTGACGTAACTGGCTCCAGGGTAGGCGCTAGGATAAGGATGAGGCAGGAAATGGGTAGAGAAATCATGTCTGTTCACCGCGTCAGTCCCACCCTCAGCCACACGGCCTGAAGTGCCTGGCACCCAGTAGGAGTTCGAAACAACGTGAATTGCATTTCTCCATGCTGCAGATCTATAACAACAAGGCTACAGAGCAGAATGGATGTTTGGGACAATGTCTGTGTGAACCATTAGGGAGTAAAAGCAAGCCGATGATACGACCAAGTAAGGTTGAGACAGCACCTACTGTGCGTCAGGGGCTCTCCTGAGGATTTGGCGTGTGTCATTGCAAATTAGTCGTGAGAAGCACCACATACGGTAGGCGAATACACCCCCGTGGTTTGTGTGAGTTCTGTCCCCTTAAGACGTCTGAGATTCCTGATCTCACACGAGGGCCGAAAACCACTTTTTCTTAGAACTGGCAGGAAAGACTCTTGTGAGTGGCCCAAACTGAACAGCAAACAGGATGTGCAAAGATTTGGAAGGACAACCTTGTCATGGCCAAATTTCCAGCCTTATTTTCCACTGGTCCAGAAAAATATATGCACAGAGTAAAGCAGTATCCAGGCTGAGAACCTGGAGGTGTCAGTCAGGGACTGGCAGGAAACAGATGGCACACTTAAATTAGTGATTCGAGAAGAGTTTAATAAAGGAGCTATTTACAAAGATGTGGGGAAACCACAGGGGTAGTGCAGTTCCCTGGGGCCAGTAATAGCTGAGTGCTGTCACCTCCCCTAGGCCTGAAGGGAGAGGGGACAGAGCGGTGACCTGAACTGCGCCGAAAGGCCCACCCTGCAGGAGCTGTGGCTTTTGGTAGAGGGACCCGGCCAACCCACAGTGACCCAGCAAGGCGGAGGCAGGGGACTGAATCCTGCAGCCTTGCTCTCCTCCCTCCTTCCCATCGCCCGCTCAGGCTCCCCATTGTCTGAGCCCAACCAGGAACCAGAGGGCAAGGAGGGTGGTCCAAAGATTCAATCCACCCAGATAAGCCTCCCCAGGGCGCAGAGCCGAGTGGAAGAGGTGGGAGCGTGGGACTGGATGGGCAAAGGGAAGATTTCTGGAACACTGCGTCTCAACTATAACCACAGAGGCCATTGACTCCCTGGGACATTTGCAGGCAAAGAGAAGTTTGGGACCTCCATGGTGGTGGCCCGTTTCTGGGTTTGTGGAGTGGGATGGTGGGTGCACGTGCTTGGCAGACTTGTGCTGGCCAAGCCAGGAGCCTGACGTCACCCTCTGTCCCTTACACCTTGGATGGGGTCTCTTCACCAACTCGAATCGAATGGGGTAGTGAATCTCATTTTTCTTTATGGCTACACTCTTCAAAGCCAGAAATAGCCAAAGGGGACTTTGCAAGCCCAGGAGTGTCTCTGACTGCAAACGCAGTCATGTCCTTTAACACGGGCATCAGTTTTACTTTTTCTATGATTTCGTTTCTGATATTTGTGTGTCCGTCCCATTGTCTAAGATATAAACCCCACAATGGCATGTTTTATTCATCCCCACACGCCCAGAACTTGACACGAGGCTGACATTCTGTAGGATCGCAATAAATATTCGTTAAATCTTTACGTCCTGTAGTCCTCGGCAGATTCCAATTTAACCGGCATTTATTAAGGCCCTACTAGTCTTCGAGGGCTGTGTCAGGTCATTTTCATATCGCTTCTCTAGTTTAATATTCCCCACAGCCCGAGTTTCTTATCTCCATTTTTACAAATGAGGAAACTGAGGCTCAAGGAGACGAAAGAGACAGAGCCTGGATTTGAACAGAGTTCTGCTTCCCTGGCCTAATGCTCTTTCCTTTCCTGCTCAGATGGTGTCCCTTGATTGGTCACCGGACAGTTATTTCATGCATATGCATGAGCTGACTGCATGAATGAGCCCAGTGGAGCCCCTGTGTATGTGTGTGCTTTGCGAAGCTCTGAAAGATACCGATGGTGCCGGCCCACACACAATGTTTGCCCCAGTTTGATGGCTGTAGCCAACAAAAGTGCTCCTGGAATCCTCCCCAACAAGTCTACCTTACACCTGTCCTGCAGTGTGAGCATGAGATCAGGTTGGATGGGGGCTGCCCCTACACTTGGCTTTTTTTTTTTTTTTTAATGTTTATTTATTTTTGAGACAGAGAGAGACAGAGAATGAACAGGGGAGGGGCAGAGAGAGAGGGAGACACAGAATCCAAAACAGGCTCCAGGCTCTGAGTGGTCAGCACAGAGCCCGAGGCGAGGCTCGGACTCACGGACCGTGAGATCGTGACCTGAGCCGAAGTCGGACGCTTAACCGACCAAGCCACCCAGAGAGCCCCGCTCTCTCATACATAGCTTGCTCCCATTGATTCAAAACACACATATTTCTGAGTTTCCTCTGTTGAACATCGAAAACCGAAAACTGTCAGGAGCTTACCCTTTGGTTGTTCTGGAGCTGCCAAAATTCGAACTGGCCAATAAAATTCACCTGTCTCAGAAGAGTCCCCAGTATGCCCCCATTTACCAGGAAGAGAACAAAAGTTAACAGCTGGTCCTTATGCATATCCCATGTGCCCTGAATTTGCATATAGGTCTCTCCATGTTCATAACGGCCCTAAAGGTGGGAACTGTTTTTAGTCATATTTTCCAGGTGGTGGGCCCCAAGCTTTAGGGTGGGGGGGCCCTTGTCGAAAGTCACACAGTTAGGAAGTGGCAGAACCAGGACTCCGGGCAGACTTGGACTTTTGGCTCTTGCCAAAAGACAGGAGCAGCCCGAGGGAGCTT